CACACAGTGATCTCAGCTTGGTGTCTTGGCTGGGGGAGACCAGCAGAGCTGGCCCAGCAGGACTGAGCAGTAACAAGCCCCAGAGAGCAGGAAGGCGAGTGGCAGTGGCCATGTCAAGCACTCCGGAAAGCTCCCGCAAGTGGTCTTCTGTGATCTTCACCCCATCACACGCTGATAGAGCTTGTTCCCCTCACTATCCATGTGGCAGGCCGTGGATGGGGGCTGCTCCCAGGTAATGGCTTAACCAGTTATGCGTTCACATTCCTAGAACCATTGAGTTAGGTACCAAACAAAAATCCGAGCTAACTAGCTCCCATAACCCATGTAGATCAAGGATGGGGAACCTTTTCAGAACTGGGGGACACACACAGGGCCGGCCCGAGACCTTTTGGCACCTTGGGCCCGGGCGCATGGCGCCGCCTCCGGGTGCATGGCGCATGCGCAGGCCCACCCATGGGGCGCGGGCCCGCCCCCGGGGCACACGGCACATGGGCAGGCCGGCCACGGCCGCTGGTGCACAGCCTGGGGCCCGCCCCTGGGGCACACAGCACATGTGCTGCCCAGCCCGGCCCGTGCTGCTGGCGCGCGCACCGGGCCGTACAGGGCCCCGCAGCTGTGGAGGGAAGGGCGCAGTGGGAGCTGGGCACGCAGAGCCTGATGGCAGCTGTAAGGGGCGCCACGCACTCCTTACAGCTTGCTGCTGGCGCACGCACCGGGCCGTACAGGGCCCCGCAGCTGTGGAGGGAAGGGCGCAGTGGGAGCTGGGCACGCAGAGCCTGATGGCAGCTGTAAGGGGCGCCACGCACTCCTTACAGCTGCCATCAGGCGCCCCCCATCAGTTGGTGCCCTGGGCAGCTCACCCATGCCTCAGTCCGGCCCTGGACACACACACGTGAGAAGCAAAACAAAACAAAAAAACTCCACAGCCAGCCCTCGCTGACCTGGCCCTCAAGTGAAGAGAGAAAAAACCCTCACACCCTCGCTCAGCTCCAGCCCCATGGGGAGGGGGAGGCATCAAGGCTTAAGAGGCTAACCCCAGGGCTGGATTAAATCTGGGGCCGGGGGCTAGCAGAATTTGTGGGATCCCCTGAGGCTCTGGGGTGGGGCCAAATGTGGGGTTCAGTGTGTGGGAGGGGGCTGCTGGGGAGCTGGTGGGAGGGAGGGAGCGAAGGAGGCTGCAGGAGCGGAGGTGGAGTTGGGCAGGAGAGAAGGTGCAGGAGTGTGGGGTCCAGGCAGGAGGGGACAGAGGATGGGGGTATCTACCTGGCACAGCGTCCAGGAGGACAAAGATGCTCTGCACATCTCTGCATGTACCAGGATGTGCTCCCTGCAGACACTTCCCCCCATTGATCCCGTGATTCCTGGCCAGTGAGAGCAGCTGGGGGGAGGGGCTTAATTTCTGTGCACCATGCAGAGCCGGGCAGAGGCCGTGGGCCTAATCCAGCCCACAGCTTGCTTTGATGGGGCCTGCAAGACTCCTCTAACCCTAACCCTAACCCTAACCCCCTTCCCCCAGCAGTGCAAGCTGGATGATGCTGGTGCTGCAGCCATGGCACCCCTGCGTGGCTGGAGTGACAGTGCTAATTTGTGCTGCTGAGAGACAGGAGGCGGGGGGATCCCTGAGTCTTCCAGGCTGGAGGAAGGCAAGCCATGGGCTGTAGGTTCCCAACCCCAGATATTGTAGATGAATGAATGTCAATGCAGAGGTATCATAGGTTTGTTGGTCCCTTTAGGTTTAGGGGATTCTGGGCCCAGGCTACCTATGGGATCTAATGGAAAAGCAAAGAGCCCATGTAAGGCAGTTGATTCTTTACCAAGAGCCTGACCCTGCTAAAAGGCCATTAAGTCTCAGAAGCAAGGTCCCTAACAGGTCAGGTTTTCTAAACTTTTTATCATATTTTGGTGTTTTGTTTTGTTTTTTGTTGTTGTTGGGTTTTTTCCCCTCCACCTATCATTTATCTGAGTTTGTTAAAATCAGCTTTTCTGAAGTCGACTGTCCTTATTCTGGTTATCTTATTCCTGCCCTTCCTCACAATCATGACAGCTCTCGTTTTATGATCACTTTCACCAAAAATTGCCTTCCACTTTCAGATTAATTACCAATTCTTGAGGACAGGAGCTCTCTGTTTTCCAGTAGAAGGAGACCCATAGTTTCTTAGGATGCCAGTAAACTGATGGAATAAAAAGGTGAAATCTTAAGTCTCCAGCTCAGCCAATCAGCCCTGAGACTCTGAGGAACAAGAGTCTGAAAGTCCACTCCTTTCCCCTTCCCCCACCCCAATGGCCCAGGCAAGTCTCAGGTCGCCACTGGGGATTGCTCTCAGAGGACTCTTCCTATCCCATCTCTTTGTGAGGGCTTCCCAGGAAGGCTAGAGAGCAGCCCTCCATGCCCATGAGTGGAGGGAGGGAAGCAAGGAAAAAGGAAAAGTCCACACTAACTCTAAGGGACAAAGGCCTAAGAAGGGAAAACATTCTCCCATCTTAACCTGGTGTTTTCTGTGTGTTCAATTTGGCCAGCACCAGGTAGATGCAGCTGCATAGGTACCAAACCTCTTGGAGTCTCTTGTCTTCTCCACGGAGACCTCCCTGTGGCAAAGCCTTGGGGGTCTCTGAGATTGTCCCTGCCCTGCAGCCTGTCCCACCAGTCTGTTGTCATGGACTCTGTGAGGTCACTGCCTCACAGGGTGAGGAGGAGTATGGAGGTGCTGTAAAAGGCCCTTGTGATGTCACTACCACACCCACCCCTATCCTGCAGGGCTTCTGTCTTAACCTCGAGCAACCCCTGTGCATATCTGAGCTGCTTCCCAAGTTTTCCTTCCACTCACTCAGTGCTAGTTCTGGGGATCAAGCTAGGGATGTTAAATATCGGTTAAATGAATCGTCAATTAACCTCATGAATTCTTATTAGTCACTCGACTATTCCATAGTCCCCAGAGGCTGGGCCAGCAGCCAGTGCACTCCTGTCTCACTAGTGGCACCCAGCTGGCGGGGCCCTTGGGCAGTCACAGACCAGAGTGGAGCACACCCCCAGCCAGTCTCTTTCACCTGCTCACACAGCAGCCTGCAAGAGAGCCGCGGAAGCCTGGCTAAAAGCACGCCATCCTTCCTCCTGTAGTGGAGCACCCCAGCCAGTTGTCAGCACAATGGCACACCGGGGTGCACTGCCTTGCTTTCGCCTCTGCGTTGGAGTTTCATGAAGAGCTATAGGTATCTGCTCATACGGTTAGCTACCTAGGTCACAACTACCGATTATAAAATGCTGATTAATGGGATGAAAGAACTGAAAAATTTGCATGTAACTGATGTTCCAGAGGGAGCTAAAAGAACAGGATGACCCTGAACTGTGCTGGGTTTTGTTTTTTTTTTTCCCGACTGTTTAAAGTCTTTGCTCCACCTTCATCCATGCAGTTTCAAACACGTTCTGCTCTCAGATTGACTTCACTGGGGTTGCATATGTTTACCTGAGAGCAAATTTTGGCTCTTTAATTCAGTCTCCCTAGCAACGAAGGAGAATACAATGCATGCACCATTCTGATATTCTGTGTTGCCAACAAGGCATTTAAAAGCTTCTCTGAAGTATATTAAGCCCTCCAAGCAAGGAACGCATTTGCTCTTCTGCTTTGTTTTGAGGAAGAGCAAATGCGCTCCTTCAGAATCCCCAGCATTCCTCGTTCCATAAGGAATAAGGGGGGCTTCTGAAAGAGGGTTTTTCCCCGACATTTGGCCCAGTCTAGATGGGTCAAATGTCGGGAAAGCCTCTTCCAACAAAAGAATCAGAAAAAGCTCCACAAAATGCAGAGCACATTTTGCGTAGCATTTGCCAAAAAAAGATGCCGTCTAGCCGTACCCTCAGTGCAGGTATCACCTTACTATGGCCTGCAGACGCAGGAGCATTATTTAATTGCTACTGAGCTAGCTGCAGCGCACAAGATATTGCCCATTTTGTAGGGTCTGATATGGATAGAGATATTAGAAATATCTGGAGTCTGTTTGTTCAATAAATCCTCCTAACTGGTAAGAGCTAGGACCACCGCATTTGGTACACGGCCTCTGCTTATCCTAACTTGAAACAAGGTCAGGGTTTGGTTGTGCCAAGCAAATGGAAAGTGCTGTGAATGGGATTGGTTTCCAGGGAGAGGGAGAGAGAGGATGGATGTGAAAAGGAGGGGCAAATAGAGAAGGGACACAGTATTGAGAGTGGCCCTTGGGGGCAGCGAGCCCACAAGGGAGAGCTATTCTGCAGGGTGTCCACAGGGGGCAACTGCACACCAAGAGAGTGGCCAGAAGGGCTGGGGCTCCGCCATCTTGCCTGCCAGCGCACCGAGTGAGTAGCCCCTTTGCCCCAAACCCTTCCCTCTCTGGCCCTTGGCCACTGTGCCCAGGCACAGAGAAGGTCCTTGGCAGCTGGGCAAGGTAGAAGACCCTGGTGTCTGGAGGTGCTGTGCAGGGAGGCAGAAGGCCCCTGGCAGCAAGGGGGGCTGGAGAGGGGTGGCAGGTCTCTGGGAGTGCTGGGGGGCTGTGGTGGGGAGGCAGAAGGTTCTTGGAAACCAGGGGGGGAAGGCTGGAGGAGGCAGAAGGCCCTGGAGATTAGCAGGGGTGTGGGGCGGGGGATGCAGAATGCCCCTGGTGGCTGGGAGATTTGGGGGATGGGAGAAGATTCCTGGCAACCAGAGAGGGGGAAAGACCCCACCAGCCAGCTGGGGGAAGGGAAAAAAGCCTGTCTGGATTGGATGCTCCCACTCTGCCCTGAACCCCTTCTCACACCCCCAACCCTCACTCCTGTACCCCATACTCCTAGATTTCTGCTCTGACCTCCCACATTGTCAAGGCCCTGCCCTGACTCCTGCACACACACTCCCTACTGCCAGGTAAGTCTGTGCGTGCGTGTGTGTGTGTGTGTGCGCGCGCGCGCCCTGACTCCTGCGCACACACACACCCTACTGCCAGGTAAGTCTGTGCGTGCGTGTGTGTGTGTGTGTGCGCGCGCACCCTGACTCCTGCACACACACTCCCTACTGCCAGGTAAGTCTGTGCGTGCGTGTGTGTGTGTGTGTGTGCCCTGACTCCTGCACACACACACACACCCTACTGCCAGGTAAGTCTTTGTGTGTGTGTGTGTGTGTGTGTGTGTGTGTGTGTGTGTGCGTGTGTGTGCAAAGAATGCATAGCATATACACAAAATCTAAAATCTTTGGAGACAAATCCTCAGCATGTGTAAATGAGCATCACCAGTTTACACCAGTTGCAGGTCTGGCTTTTAGCTGGTCTCTGAATTTCAGAGACCAATGTCACTTCTACAGGGTTTTTTTTGTTTTTTAAATTGGTTAAAAAGGGTTGTATAGGAAGCCTCCCCCGTGGCTCCCTGCCCCCCTAAAAACATCCCCCCTGTACTCACCATCTGGCATGGCAAGATGGCACCAGCCAATGGGAGCCTGATGTGGCCAAAAAGCCACCCAGCGTTGTGTTTAAAGGTGCAGCATCCTTTTTTTTTTCCCTGACCAAATGCGGATGGATTGTATTTAAAGGGGCAGCATCCTCCCTCCCCCCCCCCGGCTCTTTGTGCTATATCCCCAACTATTGTGACTCTTTGCCTTTATCGGGTTGGCCACCTCGGTGTACATATATATATTTATACGTACAAAGAGCAGGACAAAGCACTGGCTATATCTGGTTGCAGGAAGCCCTAATCTTGCATCAGGCCACAGCTGTTGTGTGCTGTGTCCCCTAACTTCCACTGGAGACCATGGAAATAGGGAGCACTCAGACAGTGCCTGTGATAGCCCACTGAGGCCCTAAAGAGGAATATTTGTGCACGTCTCCTCTAACAGAGCTGCTCAGGGCTCTATGCAATTGCTTAATCTGCTTATGCCTAGCGCCAGCTCTGCCTCATAGGAAAGGAAGTGATCGCCCATCTTTTTTCCATATGTGGCCAAATGTTTACACAAACTTCTGCACTCAGCTCTTGAACTCTACCTCAGTCCTGACTTGCAGCTCATTTTTAGTCCAGTCTGTGGCCTCTTCAGAACAAAAAGGATCAATTTGTGCAATGCAGTAATTTAGCATAACTAACAAGACTGCACTAGTGCAGCACATTCATCTTGGCTTGTGAACTATACCAGATTTTGAATCCCAGTATCCATGGCTAGAGGACTAAAGTAGTAACCTACTGTGCAGCCTATTGATTAGATATGGCACCAACAGTGTGCTAGACACTTTTCAAATATGTACAAAGATATGACCCTTACCCCAAAGAGCAATAAAAAGCACTAGCACCCAGCAAGGAAGTAGCATATTAAACAGACATTTAGAATCTAGACTTCTCCCATCTGGACCTTAATTGCTGTGGCATTGCCTGGTGGGCTTTGCATTAATGAGGAGAGTTCCAGCATGTGTTCTGCACACTCTTGGAGAATTTAATCATCTGTGAGTCACTAGCTACAATACACACTTGCCGTGTTTTAATTCATCAGGATTTACCAGCCTCTTTCTGTCTTTCTGATTGTATGCATGGCTTAAAGCTGCTCTCAGAGCCACTTACATCATTGTTCCAAGTACACTAGAAGTATTGCTGCCAGACCGTCTGGGAGACTGTTTACTGTGGATGCACGATTAGCTAATCACAGAATTCATAGGCTGATTTTCTGCACTGTCCATGTTGGCTGAGAATTATATGCATGTTGGTTTGGAAATTTCACATAAAATAAAAAAAGGCCTAATTATCATCATTGCCTAATTAGTACACAGTGAGGTAGTTCTTAGGCCTGCTCTGTTAGGTACAAATTTCTACCCTTGGATATGTGCATATTTGTTCCCATTGAAATCAATGCATTTGCAGTAGAGACATGTGAGCGAACTGCTGATGGTTAGGGTGGTCCTGTTTTTAAAGGGACAGTCCTGTACTTAAGTCCTCCTACAAGCATCCTTACTTTTTGAAAAATATAGGCAAATTGTCCTGTATTTTCTGTCTTTTCCCTCCTGTCAGTACAGGTGGGTCCAGCTGCTGGCTGGATCCTTGCTCGCCAGCCGCCCACACGAGAGGGATTCGATGGCTGACGATGGGGGTGAGTGCTCAAGGCTGGTGAATGGGCAAAGCTGCAGTGTGTTGGGGAGGCCGCTCTCCCTGCTGTTCCATCAGCGCAGTCCCTGCTGCATGCTACCTCTTAGCAGGTTTTCCCCTCCCGCCTTCACCCCATTTCCAGCCACTCTGCTTCCTATAGGTGCAGGCAGGCAGGGCTGGTTATGTGCAGGGCCGGATTAAGACCTTTAGAGGTCCTAAGCACTGAAAAGATTGAGTCCCCTCCCTCCCCATATGTAATTCAAAATGAAAACAAAACTATACCGTAAAAATCTCCTTTTTTTTTTTGGTGCCCCTGCTTTGCTGGTGCCCTAAGCACGTGCTTAGTCTGCCTATTGGGAAATCCAGCCCTGCCCCAGTGCCTGCTCTCCCTGTGTAGCCTCATCCCTCCCTGGTGCTCTGGGGGCTGGGCAGGCTAGAGTGTGTGTCTCTTCCCCTTCCCATGGTGGGGGATGGGAACACCTTCTCCCCACCCGGTGGTGGGGTCAGGGCCTTAGCAGAGGGCTCGTGGCTATAGACTTGCCTCCCCCAGCCCCAGCTGCACTGACGGCCTATGCTGAACCAGCTCTCCGGCCCAGTTCCCTGCAATCAGATTGAAGTCCCTGCAATCAGGTTCCCCATGCTTTTATGCTCAATACACCCTTAGGGCTTAACTCCTTCCTGCCAGCACTGTAACCTTGGGACGGGAGGTGGCTGGGTTATGTTGGTGGCCAGCAGCAGCTTGGAGGTATAAGTTGCCTTTCTACGCTGTGTGATCAGGAAGGCACAAGCTTCTTCTAGCCACAGGGGAGTGAAGTGGGGAATGGGAGGGAAGAGATGACCCATGAAAACACATGGGCCAGATCATGCCTACATCCCCCTACAGCTGGAAGTAGCTCCCGTTCGTTCCCTCCTGCACCGGCTGCTGCTGGCCTTGTTCTGGTGTGAATCTACAGAGAAATCTGGGCAGAGGGCCTGTGACCCTGTGTGCCTCCCACACGTGGTCTTGAGAAGATGCAGCATCACCCCCATCCCTATGTGAGCAAGGTGCATGGGACTGTGTGCATGTGTCACCTCTCCCCGTGCAAACCTTACAGATAAAGTGAATGAAAAGATGCCAGCTGTACAGCGGCTCAGTCAACTTGATGATAATTTGAATATTTGGACTGTGAACGTTCAGACTGAGTGCCGCTCAACTCGTTTGCATACAAGTTATTTTACCAAGTGCCCTGGATTTAGTATAAGAAAATAGGGTCACCCTACTTATGGTGCCTGAATCTATTCATACAAAAAGAAGCCATTGCAGGTTTTCTAGGATGAAGTCAAGTGGGGCGTGATGGCATCTGGATTCTTCATTCACGCAGAGGTCAGCAGCAGGTGATGGAAGCAAAGGATATGTCAACCAGTGGAAATAAATGGAAAGTGACATACATAGGAGCTGTCCTGGTGGCTCTATGCCATTTGCATTGCAGAGACAATGCTGTGGCTATGTCCCATCCCTTCTTGGGCGGTGAGCACTGCCAGCAAAATACCCCGGCCTTGCTTACTGAAAACAGGCTTCTCAGTTCCCCGCCTCAGATCATCAGTACAGAAACACCATAAGTTGCCCTACTACAACGTGTAAGGCTACGTCTAGACTGGCATGATTTTCCACAAATGCTTTTAACGGAAAATTAATCATCTGTGAGTCACTAGCTACAATACACACTTGCCGTGTTTTAATTCATCAGGATTTACCAGCCTCTTTCTGTCTTTCTGATTGTATGCATGGCTTAAAGCTGCTCTCAGAGCCACTTACATCATTGTTCCAAGTACACTAGAAGTATTGCTGCCAGACCGTCTGGGAGACTGTTTACTGTGGATGCACGATTAGCTAATCACAGAATTCATAGGCTGATTTTCTGCACTGTCCATGTTGGCTGAGAATTATATGCATGTTGGTTTGGAAATTTCACATAAAATAAAAAAAGGCCTAATTATCATCATTGCCTAATTAGTACACAGTGAGGTAGTTCTTAGGCCTGCTCTGTTAGGTACAAATTTCTACCCTTGGATATGTGCATATTTGTTCCCATTGAAATCAATGCATTTGCAGTAGAGACATGTGAGCGAACTGCTGATGGTTAGGGTGGTCCTGTTTTTAAAGGGACAGTCCTGTACTTAAGTCCTCCTACAAGCATCCTTACTTTTTGAAAAATATAGGCAAATTGTCCTGTATTTTCTGTCTTTTCCCTCCTGTCAGTACAGGTGGGTCCAGCTGCTGGCTGGATCCTTGCTCGCCAGCCGCCCACACGAGAGGGATTCGATGGCTGACGATGGGGGTGAGTGCTCAAGGCTGGTGAATGGGCAAAGCTGCAGTGTGTTGGGGAGGCCGCTCTCCCTGCTGTTCCATCAGCGCAGTCCCTGCTGCATGCTACCTCTTAGCAGGTTTTCCCCTCCCGCCTTCACCCCATTTCCAGCCACTCTGCTTCCTATAGGTGCAGGCAGGCAGGGCTGGTTATGTGCAGGGCCGGATTAAGACCTTTAGAGGTCCTAAGCACTGAAAAGATTGAGTCCCCTCCCTCCCCATATGTAATTCAAAATGAAAACAAAACTATACCGTAAAAATCTCCTTTTTTTTTTTGGTGCCCCTGCTTTGCTGGTGCCCTAAGCACGTGCTTAGTCTGCCTATTGGGAAATCCAGCCCTGCCCCAGTGCCTGCTCTCCCTGTGTAGCCTCATCCCTCCCTGGTGCTCTGGGGGCTGGGCAGGCTAGAGTGTGTGTCTCTTCCCCTTCCCATGGTGGGGGATGGGAACACCTTCTCCCCACCCGGTGGTGGGGTCAGGGCCTTAGCAGAGGGCTCGTGGCTATAGACTTGCCTCCCCCAGCCCCAGCTGCACTGACGGCCTATGCTGAACCAGCTCTCCGGCCCAGTTCCCTGCAATCAGATTGAAGTCCCTGCAATCAGGTTCCCCATGCTTTTATGCTCAATACACCCTTAGGGCTTAACTCCTTCCTGCCAGCACTGTAACCTTGGGACGGGAGGTGGCTGGGTTATGTTGGTGGCCAGCAGCAGCTTGGAGGTATAAGTTGCCTTTCTACGCTGTGTGATCAGGAAGGCACAAGCTTCTTCTAGCCACAGGGGAGTGAAGTGGGGAATGGGAGGGAAGAGATGACCCATGAAAACACATGGGCCAGATCATGCCTACATCCCCCTACAGCTGGAAGTAGCTCCCGTTCGTTCCCTCCTGCACCGGCTGCTGCTGGCCTTGTTCTGGTGTGAATCTACAGAGAAATCTGGGCAGAGGGCCTGTGACCCTGTGTGCCTCCCACACGTGGTCTTGAGAAGATGCAGCATCACCCCCATCCCTATGTGAGCAAGGTGCATGGGACTGTGTGCATGTGTCACCTCTCCCCGTGCAAACCTTACAGATAAAGTGAATGAAAAGATGCCAGCTGTACAGCGGCTCAGTCAACTTGATGATAATTTGAATATTTGGACTGTGAACGTTCAGACTGAGTGCCGCTCAACTCGTTTGCATACAAGTTATTTTACCAAGTGCCCTGGATTTAGTATAAGAAAATAGGGTCACCCTACTTATGGTGCCTGAATCTATTCATACAAAAAGAAGCCATTGCAGGTTTTCTAGGATGAAGTCAAGTGGGGCGTGATGGCATCTGGATTCTTCATTCACGCAGAGGTCAGCAGCAGGTGATGGAAGCAAAGGATATGTCAACCAGTGGAAATAAATGGAAAGTGACATACATAGGAGCTGTCCTGGTGGCTCTATGCCATTTGCATTGCAGAGACAATGCTGTGGCTATGTCCCATCCCTTCTTGGGCGGTGAGCACTGCCAGCAAAATACCCCGGCCTTGCTTACTGAAAACAGGCTTCTCAGTTCCCCGCCTCAGATCATCAGTACAGAAACACCATAAGTTGCCCTACTACAACGTGTAAGGCTACGTCTAGACTGGCATGATTTTCCACAAATGCTTTTAACGGAAAAGTTTTTCCGTTAAAAGCATTTGTGGAAAAGTGCGTCTAGATTGGCACGGACACTTTTCCACAAAATCACTTTTTGCAGAAAAATGATTTTCTGGAAATGCTTTTAACGGAAAAGTTTTCCGTTAAAAGCATTTTCGGAACAGAGCGTCTAGATTGGCACGGACACCTTTCCACAAAAGCACTTTTTGCAGAAAAGCGTCTGTGCCAATCTAGACGCGGTTTTGCACAAGAAAGCCCTGATAGCCATTTTCGCCATCGGGGCTTTTTTGCGCAAAACAGTTTTTAGCTGTCTACACTGGCCCTCTTGCGCAAAAACATTTCCGGAAAAGGGCTTTTGCCCGAACGGGAACGTCAAAGCATTTGCGCAAGAAGCTCTGATTTCAGACAGTAGAACATCAGTTCTTTTGTGCAAAATCAAGCGGCCAGTGTAGACAGCTGGCAAGTTTTTGCACAAAAGCAGTCGCTTTTGCAGAAAAACTTGCCAGACTAGACGCAGCCTAAGTGTTTGGGGATCCTTGAAATGAAAAATGCTAGCGCCAGCATCTTTGATCTAGGATGATAGTGGTGTAACTCAATCCCTATTCAAATACATAAAGAAAGGTATCCAGATTTTCTGAAGGATTGGGTACCCACAATCTGGACTGACTTGAACGATTTGCCTGGTCTGTCTTCTCTAACTCCATCTCAAGCACACACAATACTAGCCCAGCAAATTCTTCAAATACTACACTTGCTTCTCATGCATCCTCTTATGCCTTCTTTGAGATGAAGTAGGTATATAAATCCACACTCTTACTGCTCCATGTGGTAAATAAGGGCATGTCTGCACTAGGAAATTGTCAAAATAACTTATTTTGGAAAAACAACACCCGAAATAACTATTTCAAAATAGCGTATCCACATTATAGGGAAGCCTCCAAATTAGTCCAAGGCAGGCTCCCTTAATCTGGATGTGTTATCTCGACTTAGAGCTCCAGGAGGCACTGGAGTAATTACTTTGAATGACTCTGGGGAGTAGTTATTTCAAAATAGCATCCGTGGAGCATCCATACTACTGCTATTTTGAAATTACTATTTCTAAATAAGCATTATCCCTCATGGAAAGCAGGAGTTATTATTTCGAAATAACGTGCTTGGTAGTATGGACACTTTACTTGTTATTTCGAAATAAGGGAAGTTATTTCAAAAGAATTCCCTAATATAGACCAGGGCTAAGAGTTTAGGTTCATTTGCTGGTAATGGTCCTCGTTTAGTTTAATGCTATGGGCATTAATGTAATGGTCCTCTCTTGTTTAATGCTATGGGCTCTCTTGAGATGAAAGGTATAATGATAGGAGTGCAATTCAGTAGAATTTAGTACCACATCACAATTCAGAAATGGGGTATAAAGTGCAAGTGACAAAATAGGGTCTTGATTATTTAATCAAGTTATAAGAATTCCTTAGAGAAAATCCTAGTCAGATGGTAGAAATGAGCCCTAGTGAAATTATGCTTCCTTTTAAATAAAAATCATTTCTTTCTTAGTTTATTATGCAAATTAGAAACAAGTGTCTTGGTGGGGCCACCACTTCATTAACAGTTTCAGGTTGTCCCCTGTTCCAAAGACTTTTTCAATTATTTATTCACAATGAAACAGCTTCAATAAAAGAGACTGAGAGAGTCACTTTTTCACCCACCCGTCAGAATATCCCATAGGCCAGTGGTTAGAGGAACTCCATGAAGGAGCAGGTGGACATGAACTGAAGATCTTCCACCTCCCAGGTGAGTCCACTAATGATTAGGCTAAAAGTTTAGGGAAGTCTATCATCACCATCATTTTATGTAGACTCAGCCAGCAGGACCTGATCTCCTAGGTAATCTTGGGGAACACTTACTGAATCAAGCCCTGCAGAAGAGTAAGGTAGAAGAATGCCTGGTTTGTGCATCACTCTGGGCTGAAGCATGATCAGGAATGGACCGATGGTGTATAGGCTCAGAAGCATCGGTGCCTGAAGAACTTTTACTGCAAAAACTTAGGCACTGAGCAATTGTATGTGTCCAGAGAACTGGGGGCCACTGAGCAGGGGTGTATCCTGGTCAGGCTTGATTCTGGGATTCAGCCATTTAAAGTAGCAGTTAGATGCCTAAGTCTTTTTGTAAATCCAGCCATTCAGTTTTCATTGCCTCAGTTTCCCCATCTGTAAAACTGAGTGTGGTGACACTGAGTTCCTTTTTTAATGTTTTAGAGGTGTACTTACAGTCTGAGCTCCATGGGGCAGGGAATGTCCTTTTGTTCTGTTTGTACAGCACCCTAACACAAAGAAGCACTGGTCCATTGCTGGGTCTCCTGTGTGCTCTGATAATAAATATACTAACAAATAGCATTTTACTGATTACATTTGATAGATAGCAACATGGCAGAGGTATTATTAGTGGATGCCCAAACAGCCTTTTATCTGTGC